ATATATTCTCAACGTGTGACAAATGATAACAAATATTGGGTCATTTACCAGTGAAGCATTTTACCATACACAGCAAGAGTTTAGCTGGAAATAAAATTTCAGCATAGCGAAAGATGGACTTATTTGATTTCCATTGAGTATCTATTTGAAACGATCAACTGTGAGTCACACAATCAGGTTGACTGGATCAGATGCTTATTCCTGAGCTCCAACGAAACCCACTATCATCTCTCAAGCTCTTTAATTTTGATCCCAACTTTTTATCGATACTACTAATAATAATGTTTGCATTTGATATGGCGCTTTTCATGCCAGGAGGACATGTCATGCCAGGAGCCGCTTCAAAGGATTTACCGTAAAGTGTAGTGACTGTGTATTTTGTGCACAGCAATGTCCCACAAACAGCCGTGTGAAATTACCAATTTTATTTGGGGGATTGTTGGCCACGACAACAGGAGAAATTCCCTTCCCTTTTTGAATAGTCCCATGGGATCTTTAACGTCCGCCTGAACGGGCAGACAAGACTTCAGTTTAACATCCATCCGAAGGACAGCATTTTCAACAATGCAGCACCTTCCAGTATTGCACTGGAGTGTCAGCTTAGACTGTGAGTTCAAAACCCTGATGTGGGGTTTTGAATCCACAACCTTCAGACTCAGAAGGAAGCATGCTTCCGACTGAGTCAGCTGACAGTATTTCAAAAATGCCCCTGTTTTCGTCTATCTATAATAATAATAAAATAATCATTGCATTTCATATAGCACCTTATTACAGTGTGAGCTGTGTCAGTGGATTGAAAAAAACAGCTGATCTATACGGTGAACTTCTAAGCTTTAATAATATGGCAACAGCTAACTTAAGAGGCGAGGTCAGACAGATCGGTGATGGGATAACAGATGTGGAATGGGATGTCAAATATGTCTAGGTTGAGTTAAGTTATACAAGGAAGGAAGAAAACAATCAGACTAACTGCGAAGGCGATGAGCTAGAAAATAATTGCAGATGGAATAATTCTAAAGCAGGGCTTTCCTTAGGGAATGGAACGAAACAACCCTGTTGTGTTTCTAATTGACCTTAATTGAGGAAGGAATGGTAATTCCAGTTTGAACACATACAGATTTCACAAACCCGTTGCTTAAGCACTGAATGTCAGGCCTTCCGAACACGAGCAGGGCCAGAGTATTTATTCCATTGGTAAACGTAATATTAATCCCGTGTCTAATTGATGTTAGATTGATAGCATTCTTACCTCTGGGTCAGAAGGTGGTAGGTTCTAGCCTCCTGGTTGTGATCGAAGCTCACAGTCTAGGCTGATACAGTGCAGGACTATAATCCAGTACAGTTAAAAAAAATGAAATTAATGGTGTGTTACTCATCAGACTCCAAACCATCTTCTCGCAGATGTTGTGGTGCGGTACTCTATTTCCTTGTGTACACACTTAAGTAGTAGCTATAAAAAAAACAACACACACACACACTCCGCTGGGACAGAGATCCAAGCACTTGCTTTCTCTGAACATAATAGGCAACGCAAGGCTACAGAAAGATTTTATTAATTCTAATTTGTTCGTTGAAGAAGCACTTTGAAGTCTGATGTTTCAGTTAGTGAGATCCCGCTGTAAGGATTAAAATCGGGTGAGTAAGAGCCTGTTAAAGTCCCCTATTCCTGCAGAAGATAAATGCCAACCTTCTCTGTGACTTTTTTCTCTTTCTCTCCCTGTTGATTCTTTACAGTTGTTTCCCCGTTATCTGCTCCAGGCAGTCGCTCTGAATCCTCCTGGGCGATGCTTTATCTGCACACAGCGGTGAGTATTTTTCCCCTAAAAATATTCGTTGATAGGTTAAGTAATTCCTCATTTAGATCCCTCATGCCACCTCCATTAGGTGGGATTTGTGGCTACGAGACATTTTTCAGATAACACGGACATATTTGTTGAATGAACCCAATTTGTTTTCATGTATCTGCAAAAACCAGCCACACTTCAACGACTATCTTTATCCAATGTGCAGAGGAGATCATCAATACACAAACCTTTACTGCCAAAATGTGTCCCAGGCTTTCCCTTATTCTCATTGATTCATAAAGCTATGCAATACAGTATATCAAGCCATTAACAGCACCTTGATCAGGCTTCTGATTTCAAGCTGGACAAACAGGTAATGGGTGTACAGCTATAAACTCAAGTTGTTGAAAGATGCTACATCAAATGTAAGGATTATTAGTATTTTTATGAATTAACGGCACAAGTCACCTCCTGTGCATATAGAGCCATTATAAATATTTTTCAGAGGATTCCAGCAATCAGTTATAACCTTCATTAGAAACCTGAAGCTGTCAAGAAACCGGTTAACATTATTAGTTTCGACACGTCGATTTTACGTAATTAAAATAATTTTGCATGACAGCAGCATTATCAACTTTGCTGACACTGGCACTTCCCCCCTCCCCCACCCCCTCTCTCTCCATATAATCACGCAGTAAACAATTTGGGCATTCATAGGAATCACTGAGCCAAATCTATGGTGTTGTCAAAATCTGACAGAGGTTCTAAACTCTCAGCCATGGTTGGAAAGATAGCTCATTACAGTGAGGGCTGCCTTCATAGGCAGATACAAGCTTTTGTGTAGGATTGATATTCTCAAATAATGCAATTGACTATTACCGTATTAGTCGCTTTCTGTTGTGCTCATTGGAAATGAAAATAGGCTGATCAGAACAGGGCCAAGTTTCTTGAAGCCAAACCTCTGGCTGTGGTCTTTAAATACTGGTTGAACAAGAGAACATAGGCTTAGAGTAGGAAAAGGTAATTTCAGGACAGAGACCAGGTAATTGACCAAGGGACACTGGATTCATTTAGCAAACAGCTCGGTGCTATGATAAGGGTGGATGTTCCGGAGGGATGAGATCAGATGGGCTGAAAGGCCTTCTCACCCGAAACAGTTGTGATACTGTTTGCGTTATCTCTTAAAAAAGCCTTGATGCCTCTCCATCTCCATCAGGGCATTCCCTGTACGTCTCACCAAAAGGTTCATCAGATCCATACATGTTTTACGACTGCAAGCTTGGTTCATTTGGGTGGGAAAAGCAATAATTTCTTTGCTTTAAATTAATATTAAGGGGCTTGGGCGAAATTCTTCTGTTGGTGCCAATTCCTCACTTCAATAATAAATCAATCATTATTCAATCAATAATTAAGGAGCCAAGAAATGTAGAATTCCCTTTGTTTTCAGGAGATAGAATCTTTCTCTTTCCATGGGTGTCTGAAAATTGACAGGAATGTGGACTTGGTTGAGTCCAACTTACTGGTAATGGATTTGTTTGAAACTGTGCGAAGGCGGTGGAAATGTAAATCTCGTGGGAGGAATGAATTCTCCTCACGTTCACTCTAATGACCACTAAGAGAGAAATAGGACATCAATTTGGCTGGATGAGAACATATGGGAGGAAAAAAAAATCAGAAAAAATGTCTGAGCTCTCGCACACTGCCAGAACCTGTGGATATCAAGAAACGATCAGGTAAAGGTCGTCTGAGACACTAAGTAAACCTTGAATTGTATGTTCGCTTGTCCAAAGCCATACATTCGAAAGGGAAAGGAAACAAAACCCAAAATACATAAATCTGCTGAGAAGCAAACAGGGGTGTTCAACATGATTGAAAATACGCCACCTTTCTGATTTACGCAGAGAGTAAGGGATGGAGTATTCGCTTTTGAATCAGGAGATTTATGGGGAATGAGCTAAAGTGTAGGAAAATAGGGTCGTGTTTAAAGCATTCAAGATCGGTGCTTGGAATTGCTGGCAAGAGATATTGTTTGAAAGTTGAGCTATAACTTAATAAACCTATATATAAGCTTCAGTATTGGCAACTACTGTATCCTGGGATTCCCAAAGAGCGAAACTTTCATCGTTTGTTATAAGAATATATTGCAGAAGGAATGAGGACACATGCAATGAGGAGAGGCTCCATCCTCACCCAGACTTTGCAACGAGATTAGGGGTAACGTGGAGTTGGTGGAGGGGAAGAGTTAAAAAGGGGAATAACCTACAGCAATGTAGAAAAAAGTTACTCGTTGCTGCAAGGATTTTTTTTCAATGCATTAAAATGCTCGCAATTAAAAATTCCTTAGAATGGAAAAATTAATATTTTAGCGTTACCGAGGGGCGTTTGGATGAGAATAGATGCCAGAGGTCACAGTGATTGTGAGCAGGACGTAAATAAGAGAAATCAAGGCAGGATTGGAGTTGGGGAAAATACATGTGAGTCGCTGGGGAGGTTCATGTTTGGAGTAGCTGGATATTAACCCCCAGAGCACCACTGATCAGTTGTCTTGCCCTGAGTGAAATCCCTTTCACCATCACTGATAAATCAGTCATGCAGTAGGTGATCATTTTTGGTTCAACCCTGTGGAATGCTTCCGACGAAAAGATCAATTTCTGGGGGACTCAGGATGACACTTCACCGGTTCCAAAACTGGCTCTGGGAATTACTTTTCAGCTCATTGAGGCGTAGCAAGTTTTGGGGAGAAAGAGAAATGGAGAGAGACCTCAGGAGCAGAGGAGATAAACAAATAAATATGTTTAAACCTATTTTGAAAGGGCTAATAGATTAGAATTGAATGGAATACATCAGTGAGAATGGAGAGGAAATGAGAATATGAGAGAATGAAAATGTTGGGTTTAGGTGTTTGGATTAGCTTTTAATATATTTTGGCATCACTGCGATAATATTACAGTAATCAAATTGCTCCTCACATCTGAGCACCTTTATTATTATTTCAGTGTCACAGGGAGCTATACTTTAAAGAAAACTAATTGGCCCTGGGAGATCAGAAATTTCTCAAGAGTTTCATAAAATCTCATGGATATGTGAAGTAGCAAGTCAGATTTGACAGCGTGAACACAATTATCAAATAGTGTTCACAGCACTTTATCTGGGGAATCTTGTTGTGCAGTTCAACTGGGAGAGAGTTAAAAAAAGCACTCACTGGTTCGTAGAAAGAAAATTCAGACTTTGTCAAAAGAATAAAATCCCAGACTTCCTTTATTTCAGCATCGCACAAATAAATACAAGGGTTGTTATTTTAATTTTTTTTCTTTTTGCAATCACATCATGTTCATGTATGTAACACTTAGTACAGCTAAATAACAGCAAGCATTTCAGCAAATATGTTCGAATGGAATAACTGCTTCTTATGTGTCCAAATGGACCGTTTTGGCAAGGGAGCCTTCTCGTAAAGTTCGAAACAGAATAAAAAGAAAAAGGTTCTTAAAAATAAAGAAGTGTTTGGAGTTGATTTACTTAGTACCACATCGAGGCGAGTGTGTTATGCCTTTCCAACTTGAGAGAGAAAAAAATATAATTTCGAATAACAAAATCCTATTTAACATGTGCATCTGATCTGAAACATAGTGTGCATCAGTTTACATTTGTACATTCACTACTAAAGATACTGAGATTTATTTCACAATAACATTGAGTAAGAGGAAACATTATTGGTGAAAGGACTATGTTCAACTCCTAGATTGCCACATCATTTTATGCCCCTGACTTTTTTTAAATACTTTTTACTTTTAAATTAAAGCATTTTTCAGCACGCCTCCTTTTAAATCGGCGCGACAGCTTGTTCAAAAAGCTCGAAGGAAGTGGTGACCAACTTGTGGCCCTCGGGCTGGAAGTGGCCCTGGGGGGCCATCAAGAAGTGGTCTGCCACACATTCGCACCAGTCCAGGTGATCCTGTTCCAAGTCGTTGCCTTGTTTCCAGTAGCTACCAAGCGGTGATGCCAATGGAGAGGCAATGAATGAAGAAATATTCAATCGAGAAAATTTATTTGCTTGGTCGACTAAAAAGGTTGGCCACCACTGCTCTAAGGGACTGCATTAAGAGTTTTAGCTTCCCTAAATGTTTCAGTGTCCATTAGACTCTGGCTTAGAACATCACCATACTGGGTTACAGCTGGCGTTCTATCTTCACGATCGAGGTTATATAATTCTACCACATCTTTGTCCACTTTCTGTAGACATTTCAACATTTGTAGTATTTTTTTTTGCTAAAGTAAAATCAAACTTGACTACAAGAAACTTAACATTGGCAGAAACAATGGATGAAAACCATAAGACACCGGAGATTTCACTCTCAAAATGTACGAAATAAGCCTTGGGCATCTCCAGTTCTGTCTAGAAGAACAATTGTATCTTTCAAGAATTACCAGAGTTTTTTTTGTTACATATACACACACACACACGCACATAACTGGCAGAGTTGCTGTAATTTATGTAGACAAGATCATCCTCATGAAGTTCTGAGCATGCCTAAAATGTTCTCTCAAAACTTACCCAATCGCTGTTTGTACCCTACTTAAATCCAGAGCTTAGTTTCCTATTTTCTTGTATGTTAACTTAATATTTAGTGGTTTTGTCACTCTATTAGTCCATTCAGACTTTTTAAATCTACAAATGTCCCAAGTCTATATTAAACTTGCCTCCACAAGTGTATTTCAGTTCATTATTTTTTTTAAAAAAATTGTGGAAATCGAGACTATGTTTTCACAGATTTGATTAAAAAGATGATACTCAAAGGTACTTTATCTTTTACAGGCCACAGGGGAACTTTCGCCAGCAGTTTCGTTCACAATTTTTGTTGTTTGTGTTCTCAACCGTGTTACAAATCAATTGAGCGGTTCTGTCATCCAGAACAAGAAGCTTGATTTCCTCCCTTACCTTCCTCTCCTCTACTCCTAACTGCACTTTTAACTCACTTTTACTTCCACTGGGTTACAACTCGTTGGAAGGAAAATTCCCTTCAATATCTCACCAAGCGGCCGTTACTCAAGTGTGACTCTTGATAGTGAATGTTAGCAGGTTGAGCCAAATTGAGCCCGATTCCACCTTTGGCTGATTTTCCCCCACTGAAACCAAGTGGTACTCAGGCCAATTCAACACCCCCAGATCACAGCATCTGCCCAAATTTAGGTCACTCATTAACAGGGCCTAGAGTGAGATTTGAACTTGCAAGCCTCCAGTCTGTGTAACCCAGTCGACATGATGAGGAGTCTTTAACATTCTCTGGCACCTAAGATACACAGACAGATTCTGCGAAACACATGACACTTGCTGAGGGCACAAAGAGGTTACCAAACCACAAGATGGGTCTATTTTTACACCGACCCCCAAATAAAGGGATCTCAAGCACTCAAACAAAACATTTGGGGGATAGGAGTGATAATAATGAGACATGCATGATGTACATTTCACTAACTTTATCAATGTCTATTTAAATACCCCAAATCACACAGATATGTTGCGTTTTAAGGTGGCAATAATATTGGTTTTTCAGGTTAATCTTGAATTCATTGTAAATTAGGAAATACACTGCCAGAGTGGCATTCGTTTTTGTACTTATAGGTACTTGCATTTTTGTAGCTGCACAATATAGCTCCACACTGCCACTGCAATCTTGCCTACGTCCTATAATCATTGCGTGATTTAGTCAGTAGGACTTTACCGTTTAATATTTAGCTCCTCGATTTCACCAAGTCAAGGGGTGTCTGCCTCAAGTCATTTTACTTGCCGTCATTGAGTACAGACCTCCATCAGATCCCAATTCAAACCCACATCTTAAAACATTTAACTGATGTCTTCGAAGTGGACCGCTTAATATGTCATCGGCTTCTAAACGTTCAGGACTATCCTAGAAAAAAAGCACGAGTGGTGATTTATTTTCAAAGGAAACTGGGGCCCTGAATAGTATGTAGAACTATTAAACTTGCCAAGAGAGAACATAATAACAGTATAAGAATTTACTAGGTGAACTCTTTCAGATGAGCACTATATTTTTAAAAGGGGCATTTTGTGAGGAGTAGAGAGGGCAGGGGACAGGTTAACCGATTTTGTTTGTTTTATGTAAAAACGTTTAACCGGAATTTTGGAACAACCCTCCCCCCGTTCACTTGAAATAAAGGTTTCACAGATGTGTTGTTGAAGCAGATCTGAGAAGCGTGTTAGCTGAGACACGCTGGCCAGAATTTTATTATTACTATTATTGGGATCTTACTTGAAGGAGCCAGCATCATAGTATAGTGTACCACTAAGACTGAAAGGGTTCACAGAGAAGTTGAGAAGGAATCATTGGTGACTGGTTTCGCCTACTGCTGTTTCTTTGGATGTCCCTTGACATTGGTGATGTAACAACTGTGAACACATTAACCCAACAAATCCAGTTTGGGCATATTGCAAATACCCCAGGATTGAAACCTTGTGGAAGATTGAAATTACATAGAGAACTCTGCAATGAATTGGCTTTAATCGCACAGAGAAGGAGGAGCAAGCTCACTTATGTATTTAAAAGCTACTGAGGAGGAGGGGAGGAAAGTTATGATCAAAGCATCAAATGGAAAGATTTAGGAAGAGTTGTTAAGGAGTTGGTGGCCGAAGTTGTAGGAAAGACCACACAGCAGATAAACCTTTGTGATGTATTTCGCTCCAGAGTGCCAGAAAACTCCTCCACAGACGGGGGAGCAGGAATCAACTCTCAGGCAAATGTAGGCATTGTAGAGAATGAAAAGTGACGTGAATGATGGGGAAGAAATAATATGCACATGGAAGAGAACTGAGCTTCTAGGGGACTGTCTGAGGAAGAGCAGAAGATGAAGGGGCAAGTGGCAGGAGTGAAGGTTGTTTGATTAAAGAAGAAGGGAGAGTGGAGCTATCAAAAGGTAAAAGGTGACACTCGTTGGTTAGTCTGAGAGGGACATGAGGAAACTCTATAATGTGAGCGACTGAATCAAAGGATTTGTAGATAAAAAATTTACTAATTCATGCAGTGTACTGCGAGATGAATAAATTTGTGTGCACTGAAGGCATTCTATCTGCATGTTGCACCCAACTGTCAATAGCAGAGTTGAGAGTTTGATGATGAGTGGTGGAGATCATTGATGTGGACATGAAACAAAGTGGGATCCCTGGAGGTGATGGGAAAATAGTCAAGAGGTCGAGCCTGTTAATTATACCACAGATCGACTGATTTGGAAATGAATTAGAATTTATGAACAGAACTCTGGTGGAAGACTTCATCTCTAGACGTCTACGGTATACCAGATCCTGACAAGGACATTGGAGGTCTCACAAGTTCACGTCAAGTTTATCGCCGATGGGTTCAAGGGATAAGGGTTAGAATGAGCCCGCAGGAGTTTGGCAAATGCAACTTAATACAGATGAAGGGGAAAGGAGGAGGAGGTTGGAGATTAGCTGTCTCACTCTGGGAGCTGGGGCATAGCTTACATACCTTGGGAAACATTGTTTAAGAGCATTTCCATTGGAAAGCTCAGACAAGTGATCAAATGGACTCCTGTGATTTATTCACCAAAGCTAATAGGATCCTTGCGAGTTGAGACTGGAAATTTTGCGATTTGCACTTTTGTGTGTTGAATCTCTTAAGGGTTTGTCGCTGTAACATTTCTTACAATATGTCTAGAAATAGGGGAATTTACTGCATATTTGCCTCCTATTGGAGGGGGGGAAATGCAACTCAGCCCCCAGTGAGTTAGCAGCTGAACCTGTTCAGTGCTCAGGCATCAGGTTGAGTTAAAGGGGGAAAAAAGTCAAGACACAAATTGCAAATCTTGCAGGGCTGCAAAGGTTCTGTGAAGATGCTCATTACTTCTCACCAATCCTAGCAGAAAGCATGCAAATGACAGCGTTAAATATCCAGCTGCCATAGTCTGTCTGGAGACACATCAGCATTAAGTTTGAGAATTGCCTTGGATCCTCCCATTATGACTCTCGTTCGCTATTATTATTCATTATTTTATTTTAGCTCTCCAAATTTTTTTTTGGATTAAGCGCCCTCAACTGATAGCAGCAACTCTTCACCAGAAACACAGTATTTGGTATAATCCTGTATGTGGCAGTATAGAGGTTTCTGAAGCTAATTCTGCCCTAAAAGTACTGCTTGAAAAGTAAAAGTAAAGAAATGATTAACCGATGCATGTACAGCAATATTAACCACTTACGCACAACCTATGTTAAACTTCTTCGACACACAGAGAACAAGAATCAACAGCATGTCTTACATAGCTTCCAAATAGTGTCTCCTGTAGAAAAGGGTTTTGCTCTGACAAAATATTCTTCTTCTCAATGCCGTTGCCGGTAAAATATTGGAGAGAACAGCACTGGAGTGATTGCGTATCCTGCTCTCAAGTCCTCTGCATAGATGTTCAAGTCGAACTTCAAGGGAAAGCAATGCAACACTTGTTCACGGAGGTGGAACCCATTAATGGAAGCCAGTAAGGTCAGAGGCTGCCATTGACCGGAGCACAGTTTGATAGACTAGTGAAGGTACAAATTAAGGTACAACTTAAAGCGTGCTTGGAGCAAGGAGGCCTAGAACTTGAGCAACTGTAAATCCTGTAAACTCTTCGGATTTGGCTTTTATTTTCTCTCTCTCTCTCTTTCTCGCTCTCTTCCTGTTGCCACAGCAACTCAATTAGGCAGCACCAAACAGCAGCATTTCTTTACAGGCCTGGGAAATGAGAAAAAGAATCAATTACAGAGGTGCAACTTGTCTCTTGCTTTTGAGCGGCAGCAAAGAAAAAAATTGCATACGGTGACCTGCTCGTGTGCAGATCACACTCGGGAACCTTTTGTCGCTTTGCAATAGTTTTAATTGAAGAATATCCATTTGGGTTAATAAGCAAGACTGTGGAGATGGTTTGAAATCTCCCTCCTACACGCAGCCGAGGTATTCTGGATTCAGTGGGACAATTGTCGAAGGAGATCGCTCTAATAGCTCTCTTCACAAATCACCCAATGATAATTCTCAGGCTCCTCAAAACTTAAGAATTACTTTTGCTGCCAGGTGACATTATGGCAACAGTTAATATCTCCTTTGACAAATGGTTTAACAAAAGCCTGAATGCTTCGTGCACAGGTTGTAATCGAAACTGACAAAACAGAATCCTCGTGTTTGACATAGCGCCTCATCACGTCTTCAAGACATTACAAAGCGCTTCACAGGATTTACTGTAAAGTGGTGTGACTGTGTGTTTTGTCATTCAAACTCCATTTTACTTTGGATTTTTCTGGGCCTTTTCAAAACAGCCCTTTTCAAAACAGCCCTTTTTTGCAATTTCCTCAAATTCAATGGATCAAACCTGGAACCACAGGACTCGGCAGGTAAGACTTATTACTATTCGATTCATATTGTGAAGTGTACCAAATATAAGGATTACAAACACAATCCATTTCCCAACTGGTCTATATTATTATTAATAATAGTAATAAATTTTGTTAAAACTGTTGATTCCAGACTGGAGGTAAAAAAAAACACCTCATTGAAGAACAGTTTTATATTGCAGAGAGCATTCAATACTAACAAAATTCCCTCGGTTTCCCCTCACTGTATTATTTATATGTATGTGTGTGTTGAATATAGTTTAAAGAGATTTTATGGTACATCTGGGATTATATGTGATAAATTAAATTTTTGTCTTAAATGGCCTTCGGTGGTTGTGGGGAGAGGAAACTGTTACTGTGGAACTAACACTGAAGAGAGGAATTGTAACCCAACTCGTAAAAATAAAAAACATCCAGTGTTTATAACCCTGCAATTTCACATATGTTTATGTTTAACAGTCAAAAAATAGATGAGGCATGATTTCAGATTGATAGATGCCAATCCCGTGTGAAATACTGTGAATCTTCTGTTCTGCCAGCTGCAATGGACCTCACATTGTGAAGGAACAGAGCCTTTGGGTACATCTGCCAAGTCAAATACACTGAAGGTGTAAAGGATTGCCAAACCGTGCTGTTGAATATCCTGGCCTTGGGTAAATGTAGAAGACGAACGGGATTTCAGACATGAACTGACTATCGGTTTTACAGAGCAGCATTTTCCCATTTTAAATGCTAAAATAATTTTTTAAAATGTACGACGATCTACAATTGATGCGTGAAATAAAGGGTTGCATTGAACAACCGGGAGCAAGCCAAACCACTAACTCAAGTGTACATCACTTTAATTTGCAAGTTGTTGCAGTTACCAGTATCAAAAGATGGCGTGCGTTTTATCAATCAGTGATACTCATTGAACCGAGCACAGGTCTGCATGTTTAAGATAATTTCAAAGGGCTCCATCTGCATATAGATTATAACATGGGATTCAAACTGTGTATTGGAAGGAATTGGAAACCCGTTTAAATGTATTAGAATTTGGCTGAATGGTTCTGTTAAAGATCCTAAGGCCCATCACACTGTATAATGTTTATCTTATTTCTAGCCATCCTATGCTCTTATTAAAAAAATCACAGTAATCACTAGTAAAGTCTTGAATTATTTTCAGTCAGATTCCTCCGTTAAACAACTTTCCAAATTTAAGTAAACCCATTATCCTCCGGGCCAGGTATTCACACCAAATAAAAAATATTCACAGAACACCTAAAAAGAATGGAAAAAAGGTGAAAAAATGAAATGAACAGCGTGTTATTGTTTATCATCACTCAAGCGTCTTCTTTCGAGGGCAATATTTAACTTTATTGCGCTCGTGAGGTGTGGGAATATCAACAGCGATATTGGATTGAAAGGTCACATTAATAATCACAGCCGCGAGAAAGATATTGTTCCCCTGGGTTGGCACATCACTCGCTTCACAAGTTCCTAAGTGTTTAAAAAAATAACTTCGGAACAATACAACGAAGCTGAGAAAAGGTCAGGTTCCATGAAGTCACGCATTAGAAAAAATGCCTCAGGACATCTAATGAAACTCCTTCAGGGCAGCCTACACTCAAACAGTGACCCTTTCCAAGGCAGCGTATCAACTTCCCCACAGAATAAACAGCTCCTGCAATGTTACAACAATAATAACCCTTTGCATTTTTGATACAGACCCAGATACACCGGATTTTACTGGGAAGTGTGTATTTGTAAATTTATGTTCCCCCTTAAGAACAGTCAGACATACACAGAACCCTCCAAAAGAGGTTGTGGACTTATCTTCTCCTTTATGAACCATCTTAACATCCTTTGCTGAGCAGCCATGGATTAGCCTTCTCCCATTAATAAAGTCTATAAAACTGTTAAAGCTTCTGCCTTGGACTTTGTAAACAGCTACAGATTTTCACTGCTAACCCCCCTCCTATGTATTATAAGAACATAAGAAATGTGAGACGGAAAAAGACCAAGGTCCATCTAGTTCGCCTTCCACCTTCCTGGCGGTCGCATGCACATATGTCCCGAACTACCTATGTACTCTATCCCATAATGTTATTTCCTAAAAGAAAACTATCTAATCTGTGTTTGAAAGAATCAACACTTCCTGCTTCAACCGTCTCCCTCGGGAGCCTGTTCCACAGGTTCACTATTCGCTCACCGAAATAGTGTTTGCGTAGATTCGTTCTGAATTTAACCCTCTTCAATCGCAGGCCGTGTGCTCTGATTTTACGATTCTGGACAGGTTGAAGCAGTCTGTCATGATCTATGTTGTCTTGCCCCTTTAGCATCTTAAAGACAGCGATTATACATACTTGAATGCTAGTGAACTGGTAGTATTTATTGCGTTTCTCTGTCCTATTCAAAGATTTGAACAATGATTTAAAGGAGTGTAAAATTGGTGATAGATTTTTCTGTACCCCCTCAAATGAAAACAAAAGCCACAACTAGCAAGCTGACACTGCCAGGTTCCTCTCCTCCGGTGTCAAGCGATGCCAGCCACCATCATCCATAACTTCCCGATGCTAATTTCACTTCTGTGTCTTCTTACGTACTTTATCAACTGGTTCGATTCAGGTGTCAGCCAGCACTGAGAAATGAGCGATGGTCATAGTCATGTGAAGCAAACATTTCTGCTGTGGAACGGGCGCTGCTTTCTAACCAGAGTCTCTTTGATAAATCTTCCTTTATCTGACAAGAAGGAACCAGGACTAATCTTTCATGGCAGGAAACCTGTCTGACTGCATTACCCGTTATAGCAACACTCCCTGCTTAGCCCTGCTTGACAGATGGATTCCCATTAACCGGACGCACAGCGCAGGTGGCTCTGGGACACTGTCCTGCGTTACATAAACGCACGTTGTTGTTGGTGCTGAATAGGCAGCTTCCTGCGCTAAATAAAATGGCCGACTTCAGGGCATTCTGATGTCACTTTCTGGTCTCTGCGCAGGAAGTGCCACGGACGTCACTTCTCAAAAGGATTAACACACGCCTGCAAAGTCTCCAAGTCTTGGCTCTCACACGATGAGGTAAGCAGGGTGCTCCAGAGAGAAAGAGAGAGAGAGAGAAAGACAGAGTGCACATTGCATTCCAGACTTAGAAAAAGGACAAACTACACAGTCACTACACTTTACAGTAAAGCGGTTTGACACTTCCTCCCAACATGGAAAGCGCAGGATCAAATACAAGGATTATTACATGTTCCGTGTGAAAATAAAGTCCTTGCAGTCTGGTTTGGAAACTCTTCAGCTTATGCTTCCGCATGTGTCAGACACCCGGCTGACCACAACAACAACAACAACAACAACAAGATTACATTCGTATAGCGCCTTTCCTGTCGGGAGAACTTCCCAAAGAAAAAAAAATCTACAGGAGATTCTCCGACTAGGTTGGTTCTAATGATAGAATCATATCTGAAACGCAAAGCCAGCTTTCTCTTTCAGCTGCTGAGTAAACTGCGGTGAATTTCCAGAGTCCCTGTCCCCAAGCAATGTTGACATGATTGCGGCACTGCCAAATGTGCAGTAAAGATAGCCAGAAATGTCAAGGTTCTCTCGTGGCCGATATTTGTAATTTGTTGCCAGCAAAGCTGTTAGTTAGTGGTTAAATGCCAGGATAGCGCAAGGTCCCTATCCATACTTCAAAGGGGGCTGACAGCCAGAAATAAATGTGTCATTCACCGAATTAACAATTCACTGCACACACACTTTCGCCTTTTTAGTTTTGCGCTGTTGAGTATTTACCATCATTATGGAGTTTATTGGCATCAAAAACAACATGTTTCAGGGAGCTATGACGAGCTTCTCACCTCAGTGAGCCTTAAAGCACTCCAAAAAAAAAAATCCATGGCATCAAGTGCTTTGGATTTAATCTTATAATGTTCTCATTTTCATTTCATGTCTTTTGCCCGCTGACTCCGATTATTGATTTTGTACTTGAGTTGTTATCCGTTGTATTGTATCAATACTGAGCCCTATAAAAGAGCAATCGTATAAATGGAATGCCACAGTATTTCTTTCAGAGTTTTGTAATTTCAAGAAGCAAGCTTCAACTTCCATGACTCTTTACATACTTTAACCGTACGCAGTGCTGTTGAGTTATGCACTGAAAATTTCCCTCATCTCGCACAAAACAAAAAGTTTATGGATGGCGTAATTTAGTTGACATCTCACAAAAACCAAAACACTCTTACCCAGCTAACGGCTGAGACGTTAAAACAAAAATGAATTTATGAGGACATTACCTCGAGTTTATTGCAGAGGGTTATACTGCGGAGGAAACGACACAATAAATTTGAAGTAGGGGCTCGAAAAGTGAAAAGGACTTTGATTTTTGTCATATGAGAGCTGAAGTAAGTCGTTATGTAATTTTTTTTAAGGTAACTCACAGAATAATGTGATGGAGGAGAGGAGGAGGAGCAGGGTAAGGCTGATGTGAAAGGAGCTGGCTGTGCTGCAGTCCATTTTGTTGTTCTTGCAGGAGCAGACTTGCACTTGGACGTCCGTACTGTTAGTCAGTGGTGGCTTCCCGCTGTCTGTCACTATGATAGGCAGGACGTGGTTTGCTCTATCCAGCTTGCGCAGCATGCTGAGCTGAGCATGGGTGGCTAAAGAGACACAGGAGGAAAGTGGGTGAACATCAGAAATAACAACCACCACAACAACTTGCATTTACATAGCGTCCTTCACGTGGGGTAGCTTCCCGGAGCGCTTGACATTGGTGGAGTCTGATCCCGTGCCAGGGGGGAGAGGGATGGAGGGGCGATAGTGACCGTAAGCACGGTCAAAATGGAAGGTCTTTAAGTGGGATTTGAAACCCTTACGTTTGTTACAGCAATTTTCCCATCTCATCACATCAGGACGTCTCAAAGCGCTTACAGGATTTACTGTAAAAGTGAAGGGACTGTGTATTTTGTCGGTGGACGCGGCAGTCAGTTTTGCGTACAGCCACGACGTGAATGACCAATTTTATCTGGGGGATTGTTGGCCAAGACACGAGAGAGCCTGAACAGGCAAAGATTGGACCTCAGTTTAACATCTCATCCCAAGGACGGTACCTCCGACATATGTGCTCATTGGAGGTCTAAATACTTAACCAAAGCTCTATTCATTTCAATAATTTGCGTCACTTCTTGTTAAGTGAAAACCTCTCTGTTTTCAAAGGCCTGACCTTGGTCTGTAAGGGACCATTTTTCCTCTGATGAACGTACAATGTCCACTTAACATTATATCCCTACGGGCACTGCAGTGTCCCTGGAGACGCGGTGCAAACAGGCAAAAACCTTCAGATGTACAAAAGGATAAGCGAATTTTCTCGAACATTCTGGTCTTTCTAAAGACAGGCTGTGAGATGGAATGAAAGGTCACGCTGTGAGGTTTTCATGTCTCTGAACTTCAGCAGCTTTTTGAAAACGTGATACATTTCCTCAGAATTGTAACACTATTATTCGAGTATATATTGTTCCCTGTCTTCAATAATGACAATTACACTGGGACACGGCTGAATGTGTTAGGAGCTGAATAGTGCAAGACAACTCACATTCAGATACAGCACTAACCTTTAAAGCTACCTTTCTGCTTTTTCCGACTTTATTTGAAATTATCTTTTGTGTTCTCTGCAGTCTTTTACTTTTACTTCCCGAGCAATAAACCGCCTTTCACTCTCCACCTCCCATCATTTTCAGAAAAGACATTTCTCATTTATCCAGTTGCAGAATTCAATCTTTCCATCCCATCCCTCTGGGCTCCTTCTCTGGGAATTGCTATTTCTATCTCTTCAGCGGATCAAATTCAAAACCTACCTCCTCACCTCCAAGCTCCCCACCCACCCTGCTTTTGTGACCATCTTTAACCCTACTGTCCTAGTTTGCAAGGACCACTCCTACCCATTAGGCTGACAAGGCTATGGTCATCATCAACAATACACAGCCATAAATCTCATTTGCAGCACGTGTAGAGAATCTATTATCTCTGTTTACCTTGAAACAACAGCATATTTTAGAGACTTGATGTGTTTTGTTCAAGGTTTTTCTTCACTTCTCATCTTTTGTTCGCAACTGAATTACTGCGTGAATGATTAAATGGGTCAAAACTGAGATTGTCAAATTTACTATTTCCCTCTCAGATTTGTTTATAACCACACAATGCCATGGCATTAAATTGCATGAACCCTAACCAAGCACATTAATCATCCATCCATCCATCAAGATTTTACTTCATTTGGCAACCCCACTCGGAAAATCAAGGACGAAATGGAAATGATATACTTGGGTGGGAGTTTGGCTTCATTGCAGGACACCAGAGAGGGAATGATGGGCTATGTCTGGTTTATATCATACCTGATATGACCAAAACTAGGAAAAATGCTGGGTTTCTCAACATAAAATACAAATTACATTTATATAGCGGCTTTCATGTAGCAACGATATCCCAAGGTGCATAACATTGCTCTTTATCACAGTGAATGCTCGCCATAAAAGAATCCGTCTTTTATGGAGAGATAAAGCGAGCCAGGTATGCTTTTTCATAATAGCCTTCTGCAATACAGCCATGTGTTGAAACACATTGAGAAGTGCATTTATAAACAAAGCAGAGAGATGTGCTTGTGTGTCACAGTTTACCATGACCCACAAGCACTTTTGCCGTGCAATGTCTGCTATGAAAGTTACAAAGAATATACAGCACAGAAACAGGCCACTCGGCCCAATCTGTGCCCGTGTTTATACTCCACACGGGTCCTCACCGATTCCTTACTCCCTCTCATACCCTTCTATGCCTCTCTCCATCATGTGAAGTTCTAGCTTTCTCTTGAATGCATCTACACTGTCTGATTCAACCAGTGCTTCAGGCAGTGATTTCCACGATCTCACTACCCATGACTTGAAGTAGTTCCTCTTAAATTCTCTTTTAGATCTGCTTGTCGCTATGTTATGTCGTGTATACTGGGGACAAAAGGGGCAATTGTCAGGTGAATTGTGCGGGAGACCTGATGCTGAGAACACTTTGAGGAGGTGACTTCAGTATGATACTGATTCAGACCTCTGTGCACGCACTTAGTTGGATGTTAGTTGTGGGTTGGATCTCACATCATAATCTAGGCTGACACCTCAGTGTAGAACTGTGGCAAATCTGCATTGCTGGAGGTGTTGTCCTTCAGGTGAGCCGTTGACCCAAGGGCTCCTAATACTTTATTAGCAGTTGTTTCTGGGAAGGGGAGCTTCCGAAAACCAAAGGAGAGTTTCTTACTGTTTATTTGACTGACTTTCCAGGTTTTTTCGACTCCGGGTTGCTTGCCCAGCTCAAATATGAACGGGTCGGTATTCGGTTGCCGATCTTTGTCTATTGCTCCGAAGATGGCCACATTGAGAACTTTTGAATCCTCGCAGACTCTCGCTATTGTCGGATAAACAGTGGGAGGGTTGTCATTCTCGTCCAGCATAGTGATGATTAAGGTACCGGTGCCAGTGGCTGGAGGAACACCTAGAGGACGAAAGCAACACAATAGATCACAAATACAGATTAACAGCATATTGACATGTTCAGTAATATAATACTTGCATTCAATATTGCTCCTGATCAAGTCGAAATGTCTCACAACACTTTACAGAGTTATTTGTTTTGAAGTGTAGTGACTGTTTTTGCTAGGAAGTGCAGCATCCAACATCCTGCTGCCGCGTTTCGTCCCACAAAATATACAGTCTTTACAGTGTATTCTGTGAAGCACTTTCAGATGTCTTGAAGATGTGATGAGGCACTGTATCAAATGCTAGGCTTATTATTATTAGTAGTAGTAGTTGTATTATTATTATCCCACAAACAGCCACGAAGTGAATTACCAATTTTGTTTGGGGAATTGATGTCCAAGACACCAGGGAGAAACTCCCCTTCTCCCATTCGAAAATAGATCTTAAACATCCATATGAAAAGGCAGATTGCACAGTAAAGCACTTTGAGATGTCCTCTTGATGTGAAAGGAGCTATATCAAATGCAAGGATGATTATTAATGATTTATTATTAGAACAATGTCTCCTTTTACGATTGTCCAAGGAAACGAGCCTACAAGCCTTGTAATATTATTTCTTCCACACTTGATGGTAAGTTCCTTTGCCAAGTGAAATCAAGTTCTCTCTACTGCAAAGTGTAATCTTTCCCACTTCTGTGTGTGCCAGAGATTCAGAACGGAGCCTTGGCGGATAACAATAAAGAAAGAATTTCACCCACAAACATACAATCAATTCACTTTACAGCCTATTCTGTGAAGCGCGTTGAGACGTCCAGAAGATGTGAAAAGCGCTATATCAAATGCAAAAATTATTATAAAGATGTCAATCATCCCAGTTTGTTCTGTTGGTCTCGTTAGGAAAGATTGAATGGCAGGTTTCTGCGAGCGCAGATCATTGGGGAATAATTTAGTGCCCAAGGCAGAGATCAGTCTATCATCTCGAACATAGCTGCTCTTGTTTTCAGGGTAATAAACTGAGGTTGTGAACTTGGCTTAGTGATAGTCTCTGAAAATTTACCATGATGTGTCTCTGAAACTCCCAGAAAAACAGCTTGTGTGCTCCTTCGATTTTAATTTCACAGTGCACTGTTGTATATTTTTAATACATTTTCAAGATTTATCAGGTATCAAACATTTAAATGTAACACCTTCCGTACTTGTGGACAACCTGGCATGGACTAGTAGGACCGAATGGCCTGTTTCCGTGCTGCCCCATATAAAACCGATCATTCATTTCACATTGCTGCCTGCAAATTGGCTCCCTTTACACCCGCCTATAAAATACACAGTCACTTCACTTGACAGTAAACTCTTTGAGATGTCCTCCCATTGTGAAATGACGCTAAATAATCAAGTCTAGGCTAAAGTAACTTTCTAAACCTCTCTTACTATCTGTACAATCAAGAAAAACCAGAAGAGTTTTACAAGTGTGAACTTTAAAAACAATTTCCTGACAGTACATCACATTATTGCAATCTTTCTAAAGCCATTCATTCGAAAGGTTGAGGTCAAGAATTGTTTTTTGCTTTTGCCTTCTCCTCATTGTGGTGATGGAGGAATATTAATGCTGGGGAATGGAAAAATTCTCATTTTACTGCAGTAGGTTTTGACGTCCCCCTGTTTGGTCATCAAGTACTCCCGTTTGGGAATAGCGCAGGTTAGGTGCAGAGAAAAACTCCCTCTAATCTTGTCCATCAATAATAATCCTAACATTTAATGTAGAGCATTATCATGTCTTCGAGAGGTCTCAAAGTGTTTCACAGAATATATTGTAAAGTGAATTGACTGGACATTTTATGGATGAAACACGGCAGCCAATTGCTCACTGCAATGCCCCACAAAGTGAGTGACAAAATGGTTTTTAACATTTATTTTTGAAGGGATTATTACCCCCAGGAAAGTGATCCGCCAATCGACAAACAACCAGGTTCCTACTTACTGCTGGGTAAACAGAGCCCTGTGGAGTAAGCAACGTTTTGTCCTGTCTGGGAATTGAATCCGGGTGCACTCTCTTGCGAGGCAAGTACTCAACCAAATACTCTTTTGGACTCCACTCCGTTAATGTACTTTATCCTCAAACTTAGAAATCTGACTGGAACTGACCTTGGAATATTGTCTCCCATTTAGTACTAAATTAAGGGCATTTTTTTTTGTTGCAACTCCAACCCCACTGGGTACAACCTAGCATGTCGCTGCCAACTTTAATTACACTGAGCTGGTGTCATCCATGCGGTAACAAGCCTTTTTAATCTTTCATCATAATGAAACTGACTCCCAGAGGGAAGACAACAATACCTAACTCGGGAATGGCTTTGACAAGATTTGGAGATATAAGGGAAACCACGAAACAAACGGCAAATAAGATAGGATACGATACGATTATTCTGCTCAGTGAAGCACATTGACTTCAAACAAACACTACTCGCAAGTTACAGTGCAATACTGCAGATTAAGTGCAGTCATTACGTTTTAATAAGTAAGGAAATGATTACAGTTGTCCCCATGATAGATTAGTAGTGATAGAATCACTCTTGGCTCAAGGTTACCTTAACATACAAACCCAATTGCCATTGACTGCAATGTAAAACAAGGTTAAGAACCCTATGGGATACAATTTTCACAATACATTTTAAGTACCCGGTCATTTGAGATTGTGTTTCTTTCCTCTATTCTCACTCTGATCAAATTGCAGTGCTTTGTAAAAAGACTATACACTGAATCAAGTCAGCAACATGGTAATAGCAGGGTTGGCCAGTCTAATACCACTGGCAAAGAGCACTGACCTAGTGTATTTAAAGATGGATATAGGCAAATGCTGATAGCACAGAGCTGTAGGTAGGAGCCAAGTGGGTAGGGCTGGAGGGCGGTGAAAGATGACCGAAAGCGCATTGTAATAGATATATGCACACACACACAACAAAACACATGGGATGGAAGGCTGGTTCTAATGTGGCAAGCCAAGCTTGGCTTGGTATCTAGCCAGCAGTGTGAAGGGCTTTGAGACGTCCTCCTAACGTGAAAGCTGCTGTAAATAGGCAGTGAAAATGATATGTATCGAGTGAGGCATACATATGGTCACATGATATGATCTGGTCAATTTCTGATGGGATTTTGACGTATCAAAAGCAGAAGACTCCCTCTTCCCCCAACCCCCATCCTATGCAGAGAAATAACACTTCTGGATGAATATTCACACCTTGAAGAGTGAACTCTTGCGAGGCACAGCGAGGGTTAAAAGAGCCTTTCAGAGTAGGGAAAGTCAGCTTCTTAAACATGATTGTTGTGGTGCTGATTGTGAAAGGTTATAAAAAGCCAGCGTACAAAATCACAGGGTCTTGTAAATATAAATCACACAAAAAAGTTTCCGGATGAAGGTCATTAAAATGCAATCTAGGATTCAGAGGAACGATTTGAACAATGAGAAGTCAGCATTTGCTGCATTACTGAACTCTAACTCTGAAGAGATAATGTTCCTCTCTCTCTCTGCGTAAACAATCACAACTGGAGCCGTTATGTCAACATTTTCTCCGCAAAGATGATACTGATGCATGAGATTTACTTTGTCAGGAGCTAGCCACCTGTATTCAATGCACAAGGAGGGAAATTGAATGTCGCTTTTTCATTTGTTTTAAAAAGAAAGACTCTTTTGATATTGCGCTTGGGAATACAACACTGAGATCTAAGCAAAAAAAAGTATATTTTTTACACAGTTCTCAAACAGCACTTTTAGTTTAATTTTAATTTAATTCAGATTTTCACAGAGTATTCAAGATGCAAACATTGAAATCACAGCTCTTCTTGGATTTTACACAATAATACACCAATTGGCTAAAAGGAACTTAGAAATCAGATAAGTTCAGATATCCAAGAGCTAATTCTACCTTAGGTTCACCAAAGGGATAATTGGCTCAATTCACTGGAACTGGGAGCTCCAACATCAATGCCAGCATGACTTTAAAAATGTTTTTTGTTTCTTTCAGAAATTACTTAACAATCATTAACACTGAACAGGTGTCCCCTGCAGTAAAATGACTGTTTGGCACAGTTGGCACTTCGCCTGGGACCCAGGTGGTGGAACTTTACTTTTTAAAATCTGAATTGTTAGCAAATAACATGCACAATATGTCTAATTGCCTCTAATTGGATTACCATGGTAATTAATTGTCCCCTGCAGTAAATGGAAGCAATTCAAGTGGAATCAATCATTGTAATAGATATGCACACGCACACATATCCACACCCCAAAACATAGGGGGTGGAAGGCTGGTTCTAATGTGGCAACCCAAGCTTGGCTGGTGCCGAGCCAGTAGTGTGAAGCGCTTTGAGACGTCCTCCTAACGTGAAAGTTGCTGTAAATAGGCGACATTTCACAGTGGGTTCACAAGATTTACAGTAAAGTGCAGCGACTGTATGTTTCGTAAACGAAAGAAGGCAGCCAATTTGTGCACAGCAGTATCCCACAAAAAGCCATGAAGCGAGTAACCAATTTTATTCGGTGGGATTGTTGGCTGGGACACCGGGGAGAAACTCCCTTCTCTTTTCGAATAGTGTGGCGGGATCTTTAATGACAAGTCTGAACAGGCAGAAAGCGCTGTTTGAAAAGAGAAGGGAATTTCTCCCAGTGTCCCCCAGGTATATTGATCATTAGTGATCGGCCTGGCTTTTGCAGGACATTCTTTGTGCAAACTGCTTCTGCGTAAGTGTACAAATACAGAGTCACTACACCTCACAGTAAATCCTGTGAGGTGCTTTTAAAACATTGCGATCGCATGATAAGGTGCTATATCAAATGCAAGGGTTATTATTAGTATCAAACACCCTTCCTGGATAACATGACAGCACCTTATAGAATTGCTGCCAAAAGAAGTTTTAATTTCTCTGAAAGAATAGACCCATCTTTTACGCTTCCAATTACTAGATTTCTATCTGTGACATTAACCTGGATAAATTAAAACAAAATGAGATTTTCAATGCGTTTTAATCAAATTGTCAGAACTCAAGGCATAATTTTTCTTGCAGGTTATGAAGCACAGATGTGTGTGTGTGTGTATGAATGTGTGTGAGTGAATGAGTGTGCGTGTGTGTGGGGAGTGAGGGGAAAATGTATTCATTTGAGTTTATTAACTCTTGATCTTTCACGTCCAGTGTTTGGTTATTCCCTTCATGACTCTTTCTGCGCAAAATTGGCTGTTGCAATCACGACACAGTCACTGCACTTTACAGCAAATCCTGTGAAGTGCTTTTAGACGTCATTGATTGAGGTGCTATATCAAATGCAAGGAAGGATTGTCAGGTTGGATGGGCTGCCCAACTCTACGCTACGAAGACAAGAACTGAAAAGATGAAGTTTGTTTAGACGTCTTTGAGACGTGATAAGGAGCTATATCAAATGGAAGGATTATTATTAGACGTTGGCTAGACAAACTAAACATCGGTGGTAATAAACATTCTAAACTGCTGGTGTGTGTAGATACGCCACAGATGTTAGGGAGCAGGAGTGAGTCATAGTGATTCACTTGGGACTAGTTATTTGCTTTGTGTGGAAAGCTGGGAAGCTGAGGCATGGGGGAGGGAAGAGAAACGAGAGGACCTCAATGCAACAGTAGACAATGAGAATAAACCACGGGAAGCTGACAGGAGATACTGGGGAATGCAAAAGAGACGTTCGAGGATTGAATGGGAGAATTATACATAAAGTGTTCAAATGTGTAGCTTTCAGAATTGATCTTTCTGACCAAATTATAATCCCACCATTTATTGCGCAAACACTAACAGACATGTTGTTTCAGGGGACGGCAGCGGTGGTTTATTTTGATGTAAATGGAAAGCAATGAATTCAGGTTAAGAGAGCTGTGGTTGTTAATAGGAGCATTATAAGGATATGATTCTGAAAGATGATTTTTGTTGCGATCTCGTTTATCTCTATCTTGTTCCGCCGTGGATGTTAGTGGCATAGCCTGTGACCCACCGTTGGAATTGAAATGCATTTTCAATTCACCATACAATCTCTCTGAATCTGTTTCCAGGCCTCACAGAGGTAGTTAATAGCACACCAAATCAAAGCTTTTTTTTCTCTCTCTCCTTCATATTTACTGGAAAAATCCCGCCAGGCGTAAAAATGAACAAAAATATGATCTTTCCCAATTCCCCGATATGAAAGCTAGCATCAATCTCACAAACATTGCTAGCATCGCCTGTCTAAGGTTTCTTTTTTTTTTGAAGCAAACAAACCGTTTACTTCTGGGGATTTTTGAATTGTACATCAATGCTTACATTGCCAAAGGAGATTGAAGGGAAAGGAAGGAGAGGGAGGTAGGGAGAAGAAGGGAAACAAGCCAAGGGGACAAATAAAGAAATAGAAAAGGTTACCATCGCATGATATGAAGTTGGACAGCAATATTACAACAGAAACAAAACGTATTTTTGCAACAAAATCATGACACCCGAGGCAAGGTAATCCAAGTATATTATGTAAAGGTCACATCAAGTGAGGCTTGATGTACCACGGCGAACAAAGTGACATCTGCAATCCTGTTATTGGCTGGGGCGCTAGCGATCAGGGTAATAGATAGATTTTGTGCTAAAAAGGCCTGGGACATCTTTATCAGGATAAAGCTGAACGAGAAGAATCATGTCTTTTTTGTGGGAGGGAGGTGGGGAAGTAACTTTGCAACTGTCTTCAATACAGTTCTCACCAATTTCCATCCAGTCAACTGGACTTCTTCTGTGTTTGTTCTCTGTATCCCTTACTGTAAGGGGAGGGAGAGAGGAGGCGGTGGGGGTGGGGGAGGAGATTCCTACCTGAGTCCTTTTAATATTGATTTAGCTTTCATGCATTCAGTCAAATGGCTACTTGATATCCACCTCTGTTTCTCATCAACAAATCAAAGAATTGGTCACTCAATCCACGATTGTTTGTGGACTCTGCTGTGCACAATTGGCTGCCGTGTTTCGCCCACAAAATATACAGTCAAATCACTTTACAGTATATTCCTTGAAACGCTTTGAGACATGATAAGGCGCTATATCAAATGCAAGGATTATTATTATTATTATAAATAACAACAAGTTGCATTTATATAGCGCCCTTTACCCAGGTTATCCCGTAGCGTTTTAAAGGGCAGGGCGCTGGGATTTAAAGAGTAATTTCCTCTACTCCCAAGTGAAGTTTACATAAGACGGTTTATTTCCCCTTCATTTTTCAGGCTGTAGTTAAAAAATATATTGAAGCTCCTCTTTTGACAGTTGCAGACATTGTTTGTGTGAAAAGTGAAGTCTACATTTTTCCCTGCGCTGACATAACACGGCACCAGATTTCATAGATAGAGATGAAATATTGTTGCTGTTATCTTGTGCGCTGTATGCAGAGCTTACTTGGAAATGAAAAGACATCATTTTGAGTGTCCTATTGCAGCTTACACATACCTGTCTAGTCAAAGTCGTTGGCACGACAGTTCCTGAAATAATAACTTGGTATCTAACAATAGGCGCTTGTGAAAACCTTTAACTGGAAGCTCTTATTTGATTGTTTTTTTATACTTTTCCCTGCGTAATGGCCTTATCTATTTCCATGTACTGTATCGTATTATTCTTTACTGAGCAGAGAGAGGAGAGCTGTTCTTGCTCTCAGACCTCTGTGAAAGCTCATCTGTCGCATCAATAATATTGATAATCTGATGTAGCGCCTCTGAGCGAGAAGGTTGGAGGTTCAAGCACTACTTTGGGGCTTTTGAGTTCATAGTCTAGGCTGATGCTCCAATTCAGGGCTGGGGTGGGGAGTGTGGGGGGTAGCACTGCCTTGACGAAGGTGCTGTCCTTCAGATGAGGCATTAAACCAAGCTCGCATCTGTCCATCCGGGTGGATATTAAAGATCCTGTGGCATTATTAGAAAAGAGAAGGAAGTTTGTCTCTCCCGGTGCCCGACAATCCCCCAGCTAAAATTGCCTTCACCTACAAATTCACAGTCACTACACTTTACAGTGAATCTTGTGAAGTAGCTTGGCGACGTCCTCCCAAACGAAGATGCCATATCAAATGCCAGGATTATTTATGCATTATATTCTGTCCTCGCTCATCTTTTCCCTTCCTAGAGGCACCACTTTGTGTGTGGCAAACATCCAGGGGATCCGTTTTGAGTGACTGGAAACCTCTTAAGGTGTGGGACGCAGGCCACAAAAATATTTAGTGATTCAGAGAGCTAAGGTGAGCAGCCTAAAAACCTGACGTCCTTAAAAAATGTCAAAGGACACTTTGAATTCAAATCTTCCCCTCACATTTTATACGTATATCTTCACTTCAATTGGGTTCTAAACAGCTGTTGGTGCATCAAATGAAAGCCAATGCCAGAGTCAACTACTTATTTACAGCACTGTTCAAAAGTTGCTTTTACAAGAAGACAATAAATATTTCAAGGGATATTCGCTCAGAAAATACACAGTCAATCCACTTTACAATATATTCTGCGAAGCGCTTTGGGACGTCTCAACGACGTGATAAGGCGCTGTACCAAATGCAATAATTGTTATTTTTATGATGATGTTTTGGAAGGCCAGTCTTCATTTACATTCCCCGATTTATGGCTATTTCACTTCAAATTGATGCATTTTAATGTTTATATTTTGGTTTACAGAAAAAAAATGGAATAAAGTATTTGCAATTTTTTTGTGGGGCGAGGGGTCGTGTGGTTGCGGGGGAGGGGGAGTGGGGGTGAGCAGTTGTGTTTTTTTTGTGGAAGGGGGGCAGGGGGGAGTGGGGGTGATTCACGCAACAACACAGCAGTTTATCTCATGGTTCATACCCACAACCAACCAAGTAAATTGTGACAAATCGAATTGTATCGACCACCGAGGCAACGTGCGAGTATTTGATGGCTAGGATTATTGTTTTTTTTTTGTGGTACGTACTTACCGCTGTCACTTGCGTGGAACAAGGCGGTGTATTGACTGTTGAGGACGTGGGTAGATTCACGATCCAGGATGCCTCTGGTTGTGACCGTACCGTTTTCGGAGTTGATGACCAGCCAGCCGGCCGGGTCCTGGAACAGTGAGAACCTGCAAACAGGGAAGGAGCCAACGTCAACAACAACAACAAATTACACTTGTATAATGCCCTTCGGGTCAGAAAGACGTCCCAGGGCACTGGATGGTCAGGGGTTTTTTGGACCCGAGCTGGGAGTTGGGGTCAGGAGGGGCGGAGGGCAGCGGGGGCTCAGGGTGGGAGGGTGGCCGAATGCACAGTCAAACAGGAAGGTCTTTAGACGGGACTTGAATGTAGGGGCGTTTGGGATAAGTAGGACTGGATGACAGGGAAGGGAGGGGTAGAAGAGACACGATACACAGATTCCTGGAGAAGTGGAACCCAGCCCCATTCAAAAGCAAAGCCTCGAGTTGCAATGGCCCCGACAACCTTTGCGACATTTAAAGTCTGTGAGTATTCTCTCTTACTTACTCTTCACCCACAAAATACACACTGTCACACCGATTCTGCCGTGTATCCTGTGAAGGGCTTCGAGATGTCTCAACAACACGACAAGGCACTGCATCAAATGCAAGGATTATTATTGCTCTTGATACTATTCATGGATCGGATCATTATCCAAACATGGTAAGAAACAACGTCTGATCTTTACAGCTGTTTAGCATCCGCCGCCCAAGAGAAATTATAATTGAACTTACAACTCCCAACACAAGCGAGTGGGAAAGTGAAACCAGCTTGCATTGCTTGTTAAGGTTAAGACCCACGGTTCCTGCGGACTGACAGGTATGGGAGTCCCAAACTGCTGAGCAATGAGCAATGATTTATCTAACTGAGCAACGTGTTTTTCTGACGTATGCTGGAAATACTACAAAAGCACGGTACAGCAATTTATGACCTTGATCTTTCCATTGCGGTAATTCGTTTACATTTCGAGCTCTCCCCTTACTCGGAACCGCACGCAAAGTCAGAAATGTCTGTGGAGTGTTGTAACTACCAGTGTTAATTATGGTGAAAGTGGAAAAATGCAAGCCGTAATTATTCATTGTGTTTATTCAGTTATGGAAATTTTTCTTTAACCCTATTCCCTTGACTGTTAATTTAATTGTCAGAAGCATCTAATATCCAGTTGACATTTAGGAATAAAGCTGCATCTAATTTATGACATTCAAGAATAGTACAATGGCAAGCTGCATTGGGCTCCTATCGTTTCAAGTTAAATAGACTTGAATCAGGAGTTGTAAATAAAACTGTGCTGGGTTGGCACTAAAGCTGGAGGGGAGCACTGCGAGGCAATAAGGCATGACCTAAACCAATTAGACTTACAATATCATCATGACCAGAACAGGCAGCAGAAAGCCAGCCTTGCTCAGAAGCAAAGGCAGAACCTCCGCTTGTATTCACTCAACGATACGGCTTATGGTGAAACAGCTGAGAGTTTTACATGTGCAGGATTAAGCTCTGCCATCACCAGGTTTACAATCCCAACAATCTTTACATGTGATTCAGTGCCTTTGGGTGGACAACTCAAAGCGCTTCACAGGAAGCACTTCGATTGTGAAAGGGAGTGACTGTGTGTTTTATGGGCGAAAGGGTTTAGAGGGTTATCCTTGATTACAAGATCTTTATTGTTCTTCCCTAAAAACAGAACTAATTTTGCTCCTATAGTAACTGACGACGAAAGTATTCAGGCATCGAACGGTTGTTACTACTGCAGCCTTGTAGTATTAGTTGCTATGGTATTTGATCTCACAATACACACACATGAACACAGGCACTTTAAAATGAACAATGGGATTATGGAGTGCCCTTTAATCTCAAATGTCAGTAACATTAATAACACTCTTCCCAAAAATCGCATTAGTANTTTTTTTCCTATGTAATAGTTATTTTTCTGCCTCTTTAAGTCCCTCCGGCATTGAGATCCATTTCGGGGGAGGAGAGTGGAGAGTTTGCATTAAGCGTTAAATTTGAACACCCCTCCCTGTACACCATGCCAAATCTGCTCTATAACAGACTCTGTTCATCCAATTTCTCTCACGTTTAACTTTGATATATTCTCTGGTCAGCCCACAAAAGAGCATCTTAAAACCAAGCTCAGTTGAGCACCCCATTGACCCACTGAGAATTTCACATTTTGTACACTTGAAACCTTGTGTATAATTGTTAATTTACTGCAGCTTGGTGTCAAATTACATATATGGGTTCTCAACACGAAAAAAAAGCATTCCATTAAGAGCCTTTGGCATCGGCAGTGAAGTTTCTAGCTCCAGTTCCAGCAGGTGAAAGGGTCTTTAATGACTCACAAGTGCTACATATCATGCTGCATTTGAAGGGACTTTCACCCCAGTGTCCTGGTCAACAATCACAACAGGTACAATCGATCAATTACTTCACGGCTGTTTGATGGGCATCACTGAGTGCAAATTGGCAGCTGCATTTGCCTGTGTAGTCACCACACTTTGTAGGAAACCCTGTGAAGCACTTTCAGATGCTCTCCCAGTGTGAAAAGCGCTATATCAAATGCATGCATTATTATTGTTTTATATCTCTGGATTGCAAAATGGATCCTTTTGATTCTATCAAATGGAAATCTGAAATCCCACAGACTTTAGTCCTTATCCTAATCTTAGTCTGTTAAAACCATTTTGTTTCAGAAGTTAATACAGCGTACGTGGGGACAGGCTCCCTTCAAAACAACACTCATCTGTCTTGGAAGAGTTGAAGGCACATTGATGGTTCAGTAACAAACCATCATTATATTTTGTTCCATGCTAACAAATTTCAGCAATCTCTGGCTCCAGTGGTTTGGGTTTTGCAGTGAAAGTATTCGTTGAACATTATATTGAATCATTCAATTACGATGGGTCAGAAAAAAAACATACTCAAGATGACGCAGAGCTGCTGACAATATGACAAGCAAAATAATTCTGATAGCAAAAGATGTGAATAAATATGTCAATGAGAAAATCCTGCCATTCCACTGGCCATTAAGACGTGTGAATGAAAGGATTTTTCTCCTCCCTCTCTTCGCTCAACTTGCATCAAATAGGCAAAAGAGAGAGCACAAGTTTGAGGAGAGTGTGCAATGTAGGTCTCCAAAAATACATGCAATATCTCAACAATGACCCAGTTATGGCAACGTACACATTGTGCACCTGTATTTATAGATTTAAGATTCCTAAGCTGAAGTGGCAAATATGTGATGTGTGAGAGAATGAACGAGAATGGAGACAAATTATATATAAAACTCACCAAACACTTGTATTAACACCATGTTGGTGTTAAAAGTTATGATATATTTTTTGATGAAATCTAAAACTATGTGTGACTAAAACCTGAAATTAAAAACAAGCACAAACGGGTTAAACCTGAACGTCTAAAGTTACTTTCTCTTTCACCTGCTGATCAACACGTGGATATGTCCAGCATTTTCGCAGATGTGATACATCTTATTTTATGCGATTCAATTGGCTCTGAGTAATGTATAACCCTAATGCCAGCAGACTCCTGATTTATTCCCATTGCCACAGAGTTTCATGCATTTCGCAGTGTAGTAAATCCTAATTTAGCCGTTCCTGTTTTATATTCTGGAGTTTCTCTCCATCACTTTCCAGGAGCAAGGGAAAATGTTTTGCAGAAACGTCCCAGGAGAAATCAAATAAGCTTTTGCGATGATACCATTATTATTAATAATAATAATCCTTAAATTTCCAACAGCGCCTTTCACATCGGGAGGATGTCTCAAAGCGCTTCATACGAATTACTGCAAAGTGGAGTGACTGCGCATGTCATGAGCAAACATGGCAGTCAATTTGCGCACAACAATGTCCCATAATTGTACAGTATTCAGCCCCAAATGTCCTTCTCTGTTTCCATGTGGGTTTCCAGTCGAACGTGGTAGGACTGAAGAAGGAAGCAAGGGAAATGAATAAGCTGTAAGGTAGAGGCTGACAACAACCAAAGAGAGACAAAGACTTGGGACAGTGTGGGCTGAGATAATTTGGGTGTGAAAAGAGAAATGACATGAAAGTGCTACAAAAAAAATCTTAATCTCAAAGGGGAAGTCGCAGAAGAAGACACAAGCGGAGAGAAAACTAACAATGAATCAGGGGAATTTAACAAAAGCAATATAGGAAATAAATAGAAAATAAGAGACAACGAAGGGGTAGAGAATAAGATTTTTCTCCCCCTTTTTAAAACAAAATGCGGAAGCTCTTGTTCGTTGTTGCCAATGTCCTATAATAATTTAATTTATTGCAATTATTATAATCCCTAATGCTATTATAATTTGTATATAATGAAATATGATATCTAACGCGCTATGCATCTTAATTCATCAATACATTCACTTTTTCCGCAGTGCGCACCGGGTGCACTTAATTGGATCACTTATTAAGGTGGCGCAATGGTTTAATACAATTCATTACTTTTTAAATGCGTGGCAACATTCCGTTAGTTTTAATAGCGGCCGATAATAAGTTGGACACATTTGAACTCGCAAGTCTTAATTTAAGTTGGCTAAAGTGAAAATTACCTATGGCAGAAGTGCAATTGGGAATTTGTGGCTTGTGAAAAATACAGAAAACCCTACACGCCTGAAAATGCTGGAGCGGAGGGCACGAGGGATGTGTAAAGAGCCATATGCATATCATGCTCTTTAGCCAAGCACACAAAAAAAATTAACAGCATGTAAATGAAAATGGGCACGATGCTCGGTCAATGGAGCAGTAATGTCCAAAATAATCTTTTTGTTATGTCTTTATAATGAGATATAGTGACCAGCGTAAGAGGGGAGAAGGTGTGAAAATGGGATATGTGATGTGCTGATTACCACTCGTGATAATTAACACTTTGTGGCGCTAGGCTTTCAAGTTAAGGCTGAATTTAAGACACTTCTCCAAAACAAAATCCCACGCAATCCTCCAATTTTTAAGGCTTACATCTCGGGAACGTGGGAGATTTCACACCTCTGCCGTCCGCCGAGAACTAAACCACAGCACCTAGCCTCGCCTGTCCCAACCGAGACCTGAGAAATTGTTCGATACTTCATTCGAAGGAGCTAATAATAAAACGT